TTATTATTATTATTATTATTATTATTATTATTATTATTATTATTATTATAACAACAACTAGTACTAGTACGACTACCCGATGGGGCTTGCATGCAAGTCGCAGGGAAAAGTAAATTTCCTCTTTCACATAATTATTTTTTTTCCCATTTCTTCACTACGAGCACTTTAGAGAAACTGGTGACATTCAGCTTGATCTATAGCTATGCAACAGTTACCCGTCTCCCTCCCCTGTTGAAAACACTTTTTGTCCGTGTCCAGTCGGGTAGGGACAAGAGGAGAGCAATATGGCGGGTCTAAATGTCGAAAAGGGTCCTCTTTTCAAAGTGATCTTGTTGGGGGAAGCAGGGGTTGGAAAGACAGCAATTTTTCATCGCGCAAAGGAAAACTCATTCAGCGACGGTAGGAAAAGTACAGTGGGAATTGATAGCTTCTCTTTGTACGTTAAGGTTGGCGACCAACAAGTGACGGTAAGTGAATTTGAAAGCCGTCGTTTTAATATTGAGCTTATATTTTTAGCTGTAAATACAGAATACTAGCTACTTGGCAGAATAGAAAGGATATACGTTACTTAAACTCTTTCATGTATATTCTGCATGCTATCTTTTCCAGTTTGTTGGATCAGCAATTGTGGGACAATTTCTTTTCACGTTCTCTTTCTCTGCTTGCTGAAAAGTGTCAACTAGCTTACATAATATGTACGCTTACTTTTTTGTGACTGTCAGCTGATCACCGGAAGCCTTAACTAAGCTGAAATCCAAACATAAGCTCATCGTAAGGTCTTAATTAAGCCGGCTTATTATTAGTTATAACTTAATTTCGATATGATAATTTTAAAATATCTCCTCTATATATTTACCACCTTTTTGAGGAAAAAATAACTAAGAGGTACCAAAAACCCTTTTTTAACTCCTAAAAGTTATGAAGAGCACACCCATCCATTTTATATGGGAGTCCCCCCCCCTTAGCCTGAGCAGGCCCACATCCATCAACATACTTTCAACTGCTATTTCCTGCCCCCTCTTTGGTTTGAAATTTCACCAGAAATATACTGGAACATTGTTAAAACATCAGTAATACGCACACTCAACTCTTTCCTGCTGACTCCAGATGTGGACGACTTATTTTTTATTGCCAGAACCTGCGGTAAATTACTGACTCCATGGAGATCTAATTGCTCCTCATCAAAAATAATAGATTGACAGTTTGCTCACCTTTCCCGCTTTTTGACCAATGGTATTTCACTTC